ATTAAACACCTAAAATTGGTCAAGAAATGTCATGGATCTATGTTGGTTTGTTTGTTTAAACTTCTCTATAATCTTCAAAAGGCTCTGTGAGCCAGAACTACTGAGCAAAGAGGCCACGGATACATTCAGTATGAGAGACAGTCTGGTAAGTCTCGGCCCCGCCAACATCCTTCACCTAATACCCCTCGACTCGGAGGAATGTGGCCGACACCAAGGGAAGTGTGAGCTGGGCACAGTGGTTGTGGTGGTGACCGGGGGTTGTAGCTCAGCAGTGCATACGGAGACAAAACAGGCTGGCAACGTTGTCAAAAGCACCAACACTCAACGTGGGCTATCTCAGCACCGTCACCCATGAGTGGTCACAGAGGCAGGACAGCAGGACACGCGGATAAAACACTTGGGCCACCACACAAGTACTAATGGGCAGGTGCTTAAAAGCATCTAATTCTCTTTTCCCACCAATTTTTTAAAGATTTATTTTTATCAGCCGGGTGGTGGTGGCTCACACCTTTAATCCCAGCACTCGGGAGGCAGAGGCAGGTGGATCTCTGTGAGTTCGAGGCCAGCCTGGTCTACAGAGCAAGATCCAGGACAGCCAGGGCTACACAGAGAAACCCTATCTTGAAAACAAAACAAAACAAGATATATTTTTATCGTTTTTAAGATGTGTATGGAAGGAGGGTATGCTCCCAGAGGCCAGCAGCTTCAGATCCTTGGGAGCTGGACTTACAGGCTGCTGTAAGTCACCAGTGCGTGCTAAGAACGGAACCCAGTCCTCTCTGGGAGGGTAGTTTGCACTCTCAACCACGGAGCGATCTCTCTAGCACCTTCCTCAAATTTCTTGTTCCTTTCAAAAACAAACTTTTTTTTTCCTTTGTTTGATTTTTTTTTCAAGACATGGTTTCTCTGTGTAGCCTTGGTTGTCCTGGAACTCACTCTGTAGACCAGGCTGGCCTTGAACTCACAGAGATCTGCCTGCCTCTGCCTCCTGAGTACTGAGATTAAAGGCCTGTGCCCCCGCCACGCAGGGTCAGAAACAGACTCTTAGGCCAAACTTTACTATGTCTTAATTCCAGGACTTGAGAAGCAGTGGGGAGGGAGTGTTAGGAGTTCTCACAGTGAGCCTATCAAAAAAAAAAAAGTCACACATGCCCCAAACCCGGCCCCAAGAAAAAGAGAAGGTCTCCAAACTTGCAGAACTGTGTTTAGCTTCAGTTAGAACATTATAAAACATACTCAAAGGCCAGGTCTGGGGGTCCACTTGGGGGATCACAACGCGACGATTATGAATTTCAGGCTGAGGGTAAGAACCAGGACCCACACAGTAGGAGAAAGATGACTCCCACAAGTTGTCCTCTGACCTCCACATGCATGATGCCACAGGACTTGTGTGCCCAGGCACATACGCACAAAAGAAACTGAAGTAAAAATCTTAAAAAGCGGTCAGAAGCAATTAAAAAACAAAAACAAAATACAGTCAGAAACAAGTCAGCCAGGCTGGGGACACGGCCTCTTGTCTGGCCTGCACAAGGCCTTCCGTTCAAACCTCAGTACTGTGTGTGTGTGTGTGTGTGTGTGTGTGTGTGTGTGTGTGTGTGTGTGTGTACATGTACTGTAAGTCAAATAAAAGAAAGGCAAACAGACAGAGGCCAGGCATGATGGTATCTACCTGGAATTCCTCCATCCCAGATGGACAATCAGGAGTTCAAGACACCAGCTTCAATTTAAGAAAATGAAAGAGAGTCAGGCGGTGGGTGGCGCACGCCTTTAATCCCAGCACTCGGGAGGCAGAGGCAGGCGGATCTCTGTGAGTTCGAGGCCAGCCTGGTCTACAGAGTGAGTTCCAGGCCAGCCTGGACTGTGTAGAGAGACCCTTCCTCAAAAACAAAAACAAACCAACCAAGCAAGAAAAGCCAGTCAACTGGCTACTTCCAGTCCCATCTTATACCAGCTGAATTCATTTACTAATTTTGTGGTACTAGGGATGGAACCAAGGGTCTCAGACGGTCCAGGCAAGCCCTGTACAGCTGAGCTGTACTCCTAACCCTTTAGTAGTCCCTGTGATGTGAATTCCTTTTTATTTTTGAGACAGGTTCTAAGTTGTTCAGGCTGGCCTTGAACTTGTGACCCCCTCCTGCCTCAACCTCCCAAGCAACAGGGATTACAGGCCTAGGCCATCAGCTCCTCCAAGTCTGCCCTCTTTATAATGAAACTGATTTACGTCGATATCCTTCATGGCTAACCTTCTGGTCCCGAGGATACAAGAAACATAATCTGACTGACACTGTCCCAGCTGAGGCCCAGGGGTAGAATCAACCTACTCAGGTGCACCCACTGACTCCTGCTCATCTCTGGGCTTAGGCTCTTCTCTCCTCTGCTGAGGGGGCACTGGGATTTCAACTTGCCCGTTTTGCAGACAAGGGAGCCGAGCAGCACTGTCTCTACCACAGAAGGAGACTCAACATTCAGGCAACTGGCTCGGGAACGTGGGCCCGGAAACTCACAGCCCCGGGACGAGGAGATGGGAAAGAGCAGCATCACCTGTAGGACCACAGAGATGGTCTTCTCGCCTGCCTTAGCTGCCCGCCACTTCCGGTACGTGTCCGCCTTAAGGAGGTTTTCTGCACAATGGGTCTGCAGACAAGAGCAGAAAAGTGGAGGTTCGTTAAATAAAGTTTATTTGAAAAAAATAAAATAATTTGCCGGGCGGTGGTGGCGCACGCCTTTAATCCCAGCACTCGGGAGGCAGAGGCAGGCGGATCTCTGTGAGTTCGAGGCCAGCCTGGTCTATAGAGTGAGTTCCAGGACAGGCTCCAAAGCTACACAGAGAAACCCTGTCTAAAAAAAGAAAGACAGACAAACAAATAGTGAAAATAAAATAATACAGTAATTTTCGAAAAGCTAGCCGGCTCTCCACGCTTACACCCTGCCCCGAGTTTTCCTCCCAGTTTTCCCCTCTAGAAGTTGCCCAGGGCCCCCCTTTTTCCTTCCTTCTCCGGGAGTTCCCCAGTGGCCCCAAACTTCCCAAACTGCCCATCTCTCCCGGATGCACGTCCAGCCTCCACCCCGCAGCCCCCCTCAGAATGCCACCAAGTTCCCCTTGGCACTTCCCAAGTCCTCAGTCTCCCTGGGGAAGCCCCCCCCCGTGTCTTCCCGCCGCTCCCACGCCAGCCCCTCACCGAGTCCTGGCTGCTGCAGGACACGACGTGGCGGAGGCTGATCTCCGGCATGTCCACACCCGTGGACGTCCGTCCTACCACCCACAGAGTGAAGAGGAAGGGTGCCAGCAGCAGCAGCAGCACCAGCACCAGCAGCAGCACCAGCAGCAGCAGCAGGGGCCCGGGAGGAGGGGGGGGGGGGGAAGCGCGCCCTGCACCGGACTCAGTGCGCAAGCGCGCCAGGCTCGGGCCTTTCAAACCGCGGCGCGCCGCCGCGCACGTCGACACTGCGCATGCTCGGTTGGACCTCGCCAGAGCGAGGCGCCGGGTCCCCTTAGCAACAAGCCGTCCCCTCCGTCCCCGCCTCTCTCTGACCCCACCACTCTCAGGCCGGGCTTCGCGATGACGTAGGGACTCGGCTTTCTGGGAGCCTAGCAACAGGAGCGGCCTCGGTGATTGGGTCCTACGTGAAATCTGCCCTGCTCATTGGGCGGTGCGGTTACCAACCAAACCCGAGCTTTGGAAAGGCAGAGGCTTGCTGAGAGTTTCCGGAGCCTGCATCCTGCTTGCAATATGATTCCCCTCCACCTGTTGTTGCGGACACGCTCTGTTCCCCTTCTCCCTCCAAACACACACACACACACGCACACACACACACACACACACACCAGACAGACACGCGCGCGCGCGCGCACACACACACACAGGCGCGCGCACAGAGACAGACGGACAGACAGATGATAGACGGAGATCTCAGATCTTTCTTAGCCCTTGGCTTGAGACCAAAGAGAGGAAGAAAAATCTTAAACACAAAACATATTCCCAACACATAGGCGCGAACACACACACACACACACACACACACACACACACACACACACACACTCACACACACACTCGCAGAGATAATAGACAGATAGACCTATATTAGCTCTTAACCTGACACCAAAGAGAGGGAGAAAGATCTTAAATACAAATTATGGCCGGGCAGGGGTGGCGCACGCCTTTAATCCCAGCACTCGGGAGGCAGAGGCGGGCGGATCTCTGTGAGTTTGAGGCCACCTGGTCTACAGAGTGAGTTCCAGGACAGCCAGGACGGTTTCTCAGAGGAGCCCTGTGTCGAAAAACAAAAACAAAATATGCACCGTATACACGCGCTCACGCGCACAGGCTAGCACGCTGCCACAAATGCCTTGGTTTCCCAATGCTCCGTGAGCATATCGCTCCATCCTAGCCCATTTCTGGCCGCTGACAGGCTCTCTTCTGTTCAGTCCCCTCAAGACCCAGGGGCACATCCCTGGGCGGGGTGGGAGCTGGACACAGCTCAAATTCAGAAGAGTGAGTTGAGTGTGAGGCAGGCACACGAAAGGGAAAGGAAAGTCGACACGGTGCCCAGCCCCCGCAGGACGGGCCGAGACATGCTGGGCGCTCCCAGGTTAGGATCCAACCCACGCTGGATGCCTCCTTGGGAAAAGGGGAAGAGGGGGTGCCAGTCTCCGAACTTGCTCCGCACCCGCAGGGAATCAAGTGGCCCAACTCCAACCTTAAGCTTTGTGAACAAAAAACGGGAGGGGGGGGGGACCATAAGTGACCTTCTGGGTCCAGGTGGAAGAAGACACTGGGAATCTAGAGACCTTAGGTCCCGGTGCAGGAAGGGGTTGCGTCCAAGATGTTCGGTTCTCTTGTGGATGCTGGCTCCATGGCTCCAACCCGGAGGCTGTGGAGGACTCCCATGGGTTCTGACCTCAGCTATTTCTCACCCCAGGGTGAAGGTGGGACCAGACCCGCCCTTCCCCAGCCTCCTATAAGGGCAGAGGACCTGGGACTACAGGTTCACACACCATGAGGCTGTCTAGAAGACACAGGACCTTTCTGCTGGCTTTCACACTGCTCTGCACCCTCTTGGGTCTTGGTAAGTGACAAAGGGACCCTGCCTCCTTCCTGGTATCTCAGAGAGCATTGAGCAAGGTCCGAGAGAGAGAGAGAGAGAGAGAGAGAGAGAGAGAGAGAGAGAGAGAGAGAGAGAGAGAGAGAGAGAGAGAGATCCTGAGAAATCAGATTCATGAAGGATGCAGAGAGTAAGGAGGAGAAAACCTGAGTCTGAGGAAGCTTGATGGGCCCTAGGAAGGGCCTCAAAACATGGCATCTGAGTTCTGAGAAATCAGATGAAAGCTTGATTATCAAGAGAAAAATCTTTAAAATGTAACTAATTAGTAAGGAGAGAGTGTCCTTTCTCTCTGGACTTAGAGGAATTCAGGTCTCCTAAGCCAGCTTCACTGTCCCTGGGTTCCTCCTCTATCAGGACCGAGGAATTCATGTCAGTGATCTGTCTAGACCTCACTCTCCCGCTTTGCCTTAGGACACAGACCTCAGAGTCAGATACCCCTGCCTGAGCTGTCAGACTTCTGTGGTACCTTCAGGGAGGCGAGTTCCACACCCCAAGAACCAGCTGGACCTGAAATTTTACAAAAGCGCTGTAGAAAACTCTGCCACGACCCCTCCCTGCCTCTGAGCTTGCTCAGAGGACCCTGGCGTCCAAAGTCTCCAAGCCTTGTAATTATTAAGTAAAACAGGCTCTGTGGTGGAGTCATTTCCCGCCCTGGAAGCCGCTTCGCTGGCATCGCCACCGCTTCCACGTCAGAGTCCGAGCAATTCCCCCGGACAGTCCTCAGGGCTCCACCCATGGAAAACCAGGAAGACCCTAGCCCCTCCCCCAAAGTCATCTCTCCTGTGAGCTCCAAAGCCCAAGTCCCGGTCTGAAGACTACCCCAGCCATGACCACACACCCTGCTCTCTGCTCTCCTTGCTGCAGGGTGCCCTCTAATCTGTGAGGTGTGCAAAGGCTCGGGGCACACTTGCAGCGGGAAAATGAAGACCTGTGAAGCCGGCAAAGACGCATGCGTGGTTCTCGTGGGCGAGTCCAGCACAAGTAGGAGGGTGTGGCTTCAGCCAAGGGGGTGGGAAGGCATGGGTACCTTTAAGGTAGAAGATACCACCCTGTAGGTGGGAGATGGTTACAGTGAGCTGTGGCAGGAAGGTGATGGGCTGGAAAACGCTATGGGCAGAGCAGTCAAGAGCACTGGCTACTCTTGCAGAGGACCTCTGTTCAATTCCCAGCACCCACATGGCGGCTCACAATGGTCTGCAACTAAAGACCCAGGGGATCAGACGCCCTCTTCTGGCCCCCACCGGCACTGCATACTTGTGGTGCACATACCTACAGGCAGGCTAAATATCATACAAATAAAATAAAACGGGGAAAGGGAGGGGAGCTGGGTGAGGAAAAGATGAGAGGACACGGGAGCCTAGCAGGGGGGAAAGAGTCTTCTTTTAAAAACCGTTTTTATTTGTAATTATGTGTATGGAGGGGAGGCGTTACGCAAGTAAGCGCAGTGCTTGCGGAGGTGGGAAGAGAGGGTCAGATCCTTGGAGCAAAAGTTACAGGCAGTTGTGAGGCACTGATGATAGGAGATGAACTGGGGTCTTCATGCTCTTAACTGAAGAGCCATCTCTTCAGCACAAGGGAAGGGCAGAATGGAGGGCAGGGCAGAAGCCTGGGGAGACAGGAGGGAGATGGTGTTAGGGTCAGGGGGAAACAGAAAAGGAGGGACCTGACTGGAAGAGGACTGTAACTCTGAGGGTTGGCGCAAATACCTCCGGAGAAAGCAGGGATGTCGGAAAGGGGTGAGGAGCAGGAGGATGATATCCAGTCTGAGGCCAGCCTGGGCTATATAACAAGATCCTGACTTAAAAACAGACAAAAAACAAGAGGAGGAGGGAGGAGGGGGGAGGTGGGGGGTAGGAGGAGAGAAAGAGAGAGACTGAGGGGAGGAGGGAGGGGAAGATATGGAGAGGGAGAGGAGGGAGGGAGAGGTGGAGGGGGAGGGGAGGAGGGAAGAGGAGATAAGGAGAGGGAGGGGAGGGAGGGAGGGGAAGATATGGAGAGGAGGGATGGGGAGGGGGGGGGTCAGAGAGAGAAGGGGATGGGGAGGCCCAGGAGTACATCGGGAGAGGGGAATCGGGCCTAAATCAAAGACAGCACCCCAGACCTCAGATGAGGAAATAGAGAGCAATGGGGTGGGTGTTCATTCTCAGTGGAAAGAGAGCATGAGTTAAGGGGGGCGGGGTGATTTCCAGCCAGGAGGGGGATTGAAGGCTGGAACAAGTGAAGGTCATGTTGCTTTTTCATGATCTCTTTCAACATTAAAAAACTCTGTGTGTATGTGTGTGTGTGTGTGTGTGTGTGTGTGTGTGTGTGTGTGTGTGTATGTGTGTGGTGTGTGTGTGTGTGTGTGTGTGTGTGTGTGTGTGTGTGTGTGTGTGTAGGTCAGAAAACAACTTGTAGAATCAATCCCCTTTCCACCATGTGGGTCTCAGAGATAGAACTCGGGCTGAGGCTTGGAGGCTTGGTGGCAAGCACCTTTACCTATTGGGCCATATCGACAGTCCCAAAGGCCATCTTTGAGGGCAGGACAGTACCTATAGAGACAGCAAGTGTGAAAGGAAGGTAGGATTGAAGGCTGACTTTATCCGACCCACTCAGCCAGTGTTAGGTGAGGGTGACCAGGAAGAATGAGGGACTTGAGTCCTGTAAGCCAGAATGGAGGCCAGTGCCTTGGGTTTTATTGGGAGAGACCATGGTGGGGGGATGATATCATGATGAAGGTGAATGTTTGTTTGTTTGTTTGTTTTTTTTCGAGACAGGGTTTCTCTGTGTAGTTTTGGTGCCTGTCCTGGATCTCACTCTGTAGCCCAGGCTTGCCTTGAACTCACAGAGATCTGCCTGGCTCTGCCTCCCGAGTGCTGGGATTAAAGGCTTGCGCCACCACCGCCCGGCAATGAAGGCAAATTTTAAAAAAGAAATAAAAAGGAAAGGAAAGGACATGATGGCTCCTGAGTATGCTGGAGGAGAAAGTTTATTGTAGATAAAGGGAGAGCATAGCGAGAGTCAGAGACATCTGGGAGAGTCCTGAGTGGACACGACCAGACTGAGCTGGGCCATGTGGGAGAGGAGGAGGGGAAGGAAGAGAGGAAAGAGGGGAACCAGGTGTAGCAGCCAGGAGGCCAGAGGTACAAAAGGAAAGGGGTAACCCAAATGTCTGGACTATGTAGGGAAAAGCCTCTGGGGGAAGGGCAGCCAAGCCCCTGGGCTTGAGAGTTCAAGGTAGAGGGTGGGATATGCCAGCCATAGCCTGTAACAGGCAGGGACTGAGGGATGCTGGGAGAACCGGGAGGCCAGGTCCCTTTGATATGTTAAATAGGCACCCCTCAGCCATTTGTCCCAGGTTTAACAGAAGGTGGGGGGAAAGTCCACCTCACAGAGACACAGGGGTAGCCTTAGGCGGCTTGGGAAGAACTTGTATCCACAGCACAGGGGACTGGGTGGAATGGGAAAAGGAACTGGGTCACACGCAGGGGGGCTACCTACAAGCCGCTGTACACTAGGCAGATTGTGAATATGGCCTTTCTGGGCTGCTACGGGGAGACGGCTCAGCAGGTAGAGACCCTGGTGTGGAGGACCCTGAGTTGGCTGCCTGATCCCACAGGTGGCAGAAGAGAACTGACTGCGGGGAGCCGGCCCGGCCTCTTACCACACTCACTGGGGGCACGTGTGCATACATATACTATACATATACATATAAAACAAAAACTCTATGAAATTTGGTAGGTATGTATAATCTATGGTGCTAGTCATAGGGACTGTCATAGAAATGAAAAAATTACATACATATCGTCATCATTTGGTTCATTGTCTCCCTTCAAAGATTCCATAGCATATTTCTCTACTTCCTCCCTTACTTTCTTTTTTTTTTTGGGGGGGGTGCGGTGGGGGGGGGTTCAAGACAGGGTTTCTCTGTGTAGCCCTGGCTGTCTTTGAACTCTGTAGACCAGGCTGTAGACTCACAGAGATCCGCCTGCCTCTGCCTGCCAAGTGCTGGGATTAAAGGCGTGCACCACCACTGCCTGGCCCTCCCTTACATCTTCTGGAACAATTTCATGTCTTCCGTCAGTTCGCTCACCAACCCAGCTGAGCTCTAGTTCAAAACGCTCCATCCTTCACTCCATCATGTACTACGTCATGGCAAGCCAATTCTTCCACTTGAAGCTCTTCTAATTCTGTCTCTGTGGCTTGCCCGGTTTTCCCCAGTGCCAAAGCCTCAGTCACCACGGGAAACACCTCATGGGTCGTCAATCGCACAGAGCTGTGAGCCTTGATGCCTACCGTAAGACCCTACCGGGAAACTACAGCCCAAAGGCCCGGCTGCGCTGCACCGTGTGGAAGCCTGTACACAGCCACTCTGTCAGCGAGATGTTTTGGAGGACTGTTACAGCCAACGTGGGCTCTCCAGTTGGACGATTCTTCTCTTGCTGTGTCTGCTAACAAACAAGTGTCTGCCAACAGACCTGCTGCCGCCTGTCAATCAACGTGAAAAGGGCGTTTTTTGTTTGTTTGTTTGTTTGTTTGGTTTTTTCGAGACAAGGTTTCTCTGTGTAGTTTTGGTGCCTGTCCTGGATCTCACTCTGTAGACCAGGCTGGCCTCGAACTCACATAGATCCGCCTGCCTCTGCCACCCGAGTGCTGGGATAAATGGCGTGCACCAACACCACCACGCGGCCTGAAAAGGGCGTTTTGGCCAGGCGGTGGTGGTGCACGCCTTTAATCCCAGCACTCGGGAGGCAGAGGCGGGCGGATCTCTGAGAGTTCGAGGCCAACCTGGTCTACCTGGTCTACAGAGCGAGATCCAGGAAAGGCGCAAAGCTACACAGAGAAACCCTGTCTCGAAAAACCAAAAAAAAAAAAAGGGTGTTTTGTGGAACCTTCTTCACAGAGTTTAGAGAGGACTAGCTTTCCTACTCCAAAGACAACACCATCTTTACATCTCCTCCCTACTGTTCCCACAGTCTTCATGACATTCTCAACTCAGGAAACTCTTCCGTTTGGAGAGAATGAAGAGGCTGACGGGCCATACCCAGAGCCAGTGGAACTCATGGTGCCGACCAGGAGGCCGAGGAGCACTTCCAGGCCTGAAGCCACACACACACATTTTATTAAAAAAAAAAAAAAAAAAGTACTTATTTTAGGCAGGTGCGTGTGGTGGTGCACACCTTTAATCCCAGCACTAGGGAGGCAGAGGCAAGTGGGTCTCTGAGTTCTAGGCCAGCCTGGTCTCCAGAGCGAGTTCCAGGGAAGCCAGGGCTACATAGTGAGACCCCCCGCCTCAAAAAATGTTATTTTATATGTAGGTGTATATAGGTCTATGTGTTTGTATGTGCATGTGGGTGCCCGAGGAGGCCAGAAGAGGGCGACAGATCCCTGGAACTACAGTTGTAGATGGTTGTAAGCACCCAGGTGTGGGTGCAGGGAACCAAACTTGGGTCCTCAGGAAGAGCAGCAAGTGTTCCTAACCCACGAGCCATCTCTCCAGCCCTAGTGGTTTTATTTTCGTGTGTGTGTGTGTGTGTGTGTGTGTGTGTGAGTGTGTGTGTGTGTGTGTGTGTGTGTGTGTGTGTGTGTGTGTGTGTGTGTTCCTGTTAGGGAGTAGTGAGATAAGGAGGTAAGAGGAAGAGTGATTGATTCCCGTCCCCACTCTGCAGAGGGCCGGAAGTCAGTGAGCACCTTCAAGGCCTGCATGAAGTTCAAAGACTGCTACTCAGGCTTCGTATCCACCACCATGAGTCCCAATGACTACATGGTGTCCAACGCCCACTGTTGTCAGAGCGACGGCTGCAACCGCGGCTCGGTGCCCCGTAAGTGCCACCCCAACCAACAGCAGCAGGCCTGCCTGCCCCTGTGACATCTGGCAAGCCCTTGGCGGCTGCGGGGGCCTCTGTTTCCCTACCTGCAAACTCCACCAACCAACCCAGTGTTCCCCAGGTTCCCAGGATGTTGGGGGTAACAGTTCTTCCAACCTGCTTTATACCCCGTCTTCATTCACAGCTCCCCAGAACAATCGAACCGAGAACGGCCTGATGTGCCCCTCCTGCATTGCGCCCTTCCAAGAGACGTGTCCCGGAACCCAGGCAGCCCGTTGCGTGGGCCCGGAAACACACTGCATCTATTTTGCTGGCAATGTGCAGGCTGGTGAGCTGCTGCATAGACTTTGATGGGGCGGGGTGTGGGGTGTGTGTGTGTGTGTGTGTGTGTGTGTGTGTGTGTGTGTGTGTGTGAAATAGAGGTCCACACTTCCCCATTATGGGCGATGAGGGGGAGTTCCAGAGCACTGGAGGATGAAATGATGGGGCAGGGCGGGGATGTGTGTGTGTTAAGACTCCTGGGTCGTGAAGAAGCTGACTCCATTCTGAAATGCCGTCACAGGTATTATCAACACAAAATTTGCCACGAGGGGCTGTGCTACCGAGAGCGCCTGCTATACCAAGACTGGAGCAGAAGTGCCTTCGGCCTCCTACCTCTACTTCCTGCGCCGGGCCGACTGCCTTCCAGCCCCCTACCCCCCTGGGAGGGGTGAGTGAAGAACTAAGGAGTATGTGCCTTGAGGTCCCCATTTGTCCTCAGCCTACAGCTCTCCAGGCGCCTGTGAATTAAAACAGATGAACAGAGCAAACCTCAGTCCTTGTGACCAGATGCATCTTGGGAAGGCGGGTGTAAACAGTACAGGTCCTGGCGTTCCTCTCGGACCCAGTTCAAAGGCTGAGGCTGAGGTAGGATGATCGTGAGTTCAGGACCAACCTGAATTCAGGTTGCACAGCCAGACCCTGTCTCAAAAACAAACAGAAAAAGGAACCAGGCTGTGGTGGCGCAAACCTTTAATCGCAGCAATGGGGAGACAGGGGCAGGTGGATCTCTGTGAGTTCGAGGCCAGCCTGGTCTATAGAGTGAGTTCCAGGGCAGTCAGAAAGCCACACAGTTAGACTGGGGTGGGGGTGGGGAGGCAGGTCAGCCTGGGCTGTGTGAGAACCTACCCTTTTAAAAAGAAAAAGGAGTGGCCAGGTGGTGGTGGCATACACCTTTAATCCCAGCACTCAGGAGGCAGAGGCAGGCGGATCTCTGTGAGTTCGAGGCCAGCCTAGTCTACGGAGTGAGATCCAGGACAGGCACCGAAACTACACAGAAAAACCCTGTCTCGAAAAACCAAAAAAGGGACTGGAGAGATGGCTCAGTGGTTAGGAGCACTGGCTGCTCTTCCAGAGGACCTGCGTTCAGTTCCCAGCCCCTACATGACAGCTCACAACTGTCTGTAACTCCAGTTCCAGGGCTTCTGACACCTTCACACAGATACACATGCAGGTAAAACACCAAACAACATAAAATAAAGATAAATAATTATTTTTTAAAAAAAAAAGAAAGAAGGAAAAAGGAAAAAGAAAACAAGCAAGTAGTCCTTGCTTTCTATTAAGGGTACCATGCCAATCTCCCACACTAAGTATCTTATATTTGATTTTATTTAGTTATTTATTTTTGGTTTTTCGAGACAGGGTTTCTCTGTGTAGCTTTGCGCCTTTCCTGGAACTCACTTGGTAGTCCAGGCTGGCCTCGAACTCACAGAGATCCGCCTGCCTCTGCCTCCCGAGTGCTGGGATTGAAGGCATGCGCCACCACCCCGCCCGGCCATATTTTATATTTTATAATCATGCTATGATCACAGTTCCATGAAGTTGATTTGTTGTTTTGCTGTTATTGTTTGAGACGGTCTCATTAGGTAGTGCAGTCTAGCCTCAAACTCAAGGCACACTCTCTGTCTCACCCTCTAGAATGCTGGGATTACAGCTGTGAACAACCCCGCCCATTTGAAATTGATATTATCCCACTTTACAGGTGGGAAAACTGAGGCAGATTGTGGATGGCACTAGCCTTGAGTCAAACAGCTAGGATAGGTGAGAAAGCCTGATTTGAACCCTGGTCTGTCACACACTCCAAAGGCCTTGGTCACCTCTCTTGACTCAACTCTCTGTGTCTCACCTCAGTTTTCATGGCTTCCGACGGGTGGCTATTAATAGTGAGAACCTCAGGGCTGTCGTATGATGGAAAATGCTACTTGCAAAGCACTTACAGCAGTGGGTGCCACCTTTAAAGGAGTGACGGCTCTCCAGACACTATGTTTCAGTAAATACTAATCAGTGTTATGGCTGCCACTTACAGGGTGGCCATTAGTTGGCACCCACTGGAGCAGGCTACAGTGTGCTACAGTATCAACTTCCTAATCTCAATCTTTGTTGTCTGAAAACAACAAAGGTGTATGAGTCAGCCAGGGCTGCAACAACGCCGCGTAACAAACCAGCCCCAAACGAAGACTTAAGACAACAAGCATTCTCGTTTCTAAGGGCGTGTAGGTTGGCTGGGAAGGCTCTCCTTCTAGCTGGTTTGATCTAGAACTGGCTCCTCCATGAACTTCCGCAACTCCTCTGCGTCAGTGGCTCCCTGGCAGATGTTCTCACAGCTGAAAGCCAAGTGCATATAAGGTGGTGGTTGTTGTTGTTGAAATAAGCACTGGAAGCACTCCATTGACTAAGGTGAGTCACAAGGTCAAAGCCAACATCAACACACGGGTGTCTCACTGGGAGGGAGGCGTGTGTATGTGCTGAATGAGCACCCATTCACAAAAGGCTGGTGCTTTCCTTGGCTCTACAAGTTTAGCATAATCCAAAGCGGGTTTCAGCTCATTCCAGGCATGGATCAGCGCATTTCTTTGCCAAAGGGAAGTACCTAGAAATGCCTCACCTGTATGGTTAAACACTGTGTGACCCAGAAGTGATTCAACGCTCTCAGCTCCATGGATGGAGCTAGTCACGTGGCCACACCTCACCAGGAGTCGACTCCTTCTCCAGTCACAAGGCTGAGAGCTAGGTATTTCAGAACCAGCGAGTATGACACACCCTTCCCCCACCCCCTCTCCCCCGGCCTTTGAGAGGCGGACTCTCATCTGCTTCACGGATCTACACAAGAGGCACTAACATTCTCATCCTGGCTCTCAGGAGGTGGGTCTCGAGGCTCACAGGGAGATGCCAATTCGAAGATCACATAGCTTAAATGTAACAGAGCTTGAGATTTTAGCAGGGCTTGGTAGAGTACACCTTTAAACGCAATGCTTGGGAGACTGAGGCAGGAGGATAATGAACTTAAATATAGCCCAGGGAACATACCAAAAGCTTTGATCAATTTTGTGTCAATAGTGGGGATAGGCCTTGACTATGCTAGGAAGGTGATCTTACTACTGAGCCACACCCCCAGCCCTTCACTGGGGGATTTGAGGCAGGGGCTCTACCACTGAGCCACGCCCCCAGCCCCTCACTGGGGGATTCTAGGCAGGGGCTCTACCACTGAACCACACCCCCAGTCCCTCACTGGGGGATTCTAGGCAGGGGCTCTACCACTGAGCCACGCCCCCAGCCCCTCACTGGGGGATTCTAGGCAGGGGCTCTACCACTGAGCCACGCCCCCAGCCCCTCACTGGGGGATTCTAGGCAGATGCTCTACCACTGAGCCACGCCTCCAAGCCCTCACTGGGGGATTCTAAGAAAACACATCGCCATTGTGCCTCTCAATGTGGCAGTGACGGCAGGGAGCCCAAGGACAGCCAGAGGAAGTCCAGTCACGACACGTCAAGCCTCTGATCGTACCGTGTTTGCTGTTGTCCCCGTGGCTAAAATCCAGAGTCAGGCCGAGAGAGCACATCCAAGTGTCCTCAGAGAGACTGAACTGGGGAACCGTGGGTCAGGCTGGCTCCAGAGTTCAGTTGTTTGGCCATCACAGGCTCTTACAAATCACCAAGTTCACCAGGCAGTGGTGGCGCAGGCCTTTGATCCCAGCACTCGGGAAGCAGAGGCAGGTGGACCTCTGTGAGTTCGAGGCCAGCCTGGGCTACAGAGTGAGTTCCAGCCAGGGCTACAGGGCTACACAGAGAAACCCTGTCTCAAAAAACCAAAAGAAAAGAAAAATCAAGTTCAAGGCCGAAGAGATGGCTCAGGAGACTGAAAGCACCTTTCCCAGAACAGACCCGCACACAGATGCTTAAAATTAATAAATCAAACCTTTAACAAAAAGCCACACATGATAGGATTTCTACTCTCTTTTATTCGTTTTTCTGAAACACACCATAGGTTGACCAGACTGTTGGATTTGTCCCCTGTTCCAACAGACAGTCCCTTCATGAGGCAGAAATGTAGGGTTCTCCCCCATGTTGAGGGTTATCTCATCCATTCATCAACTTTTGGAACCTGCTGTTCAGACAGGGCCACGGCCAAAATCCACTGTACAGTTGCAGTTCCAGCCTGGAGGGCTGACATTTCCCAGAATCCCTGCCTCTAGGCTCTTCCAGACCGAGGTGCCTCATGGGAGCATCCTGTTAGCAGCCCACAAGGGAGGCTGAGCCTTTTCTGTTTGTAGGCTTCCAGAGACGGGCACCTCACTCTCAGCTTTACTTACACCCTGGAAAAGCCTAAAACCCTAACAAAAGATGTAGGCACCATATGTCGTAGCTTACACCTGTAATCCTAGAACCTCAGAGGCTATGGCATGAGTTTGAGGCCAGTCTGAGCTATAGTGTAAGACACCCTACCTCGGAAAAGACACACACACACACAAAAGTCATAGTTTCAAGGGCAGCCATCCCTGCCTGCAACCCAGGACAGAAGAGTGACAGGACGATGCCTGGGGTCAAGAGTTGGAGACCGCCTGGACCCTCTAGTAACAAAAACACCAGCAACACAAAATCGCTGCTATATAAGTCTATGGAGCTGACTAGCCATGCAACAGCTACAACATGCTGCTTTTTCTGATGCATCTCAAGAAGAGACAGCAGCAAAGCACAGCGCAGCGCAGGGATGCTGTGAGGCACCAGAGTAAGACACGGTCAGAGCTGGGTACGGTGACACATGCCTGTGGTCCCAGCACGTGAGGCGGAGGATTTCAAGGCCACCGCCAGCTACATACTGAATTTAAGGCCAGCCTAGGCTGTGTCAAAATATCAGAAAATAAAATAACACAGAACAGCGTGTTAGCGAGAGCGGGGCACTTCACAGGAGTCACCGAAGGTGCCGGGTTGGTTGTCTGACCATTACCAGGTCAAGGGGAGTAGGACCCCGGCAGTACAGACTGACTTCTGTGTTCAAAGCCTCTCTGGAAGGATGGCGGTACATGTGAGCTGGGCATGTGTTCGAGCGTGTTCACGTGCCAGTGTGCATGCTCAGACACGTGCCTGTGTATATACAGCGAAATCTCAGCTACCTGCTGTGGCGGTGAAGGCTGCTAACGGACAGTCTACACTCTCTGTCCCGATGTGGCTAGGGAAGATTGTCTAGATTAGGTTAGCTGAGCTCTACCTACTGTTGAGGAACCATTCAACAGGCTGTGGTCCTGGGGTGAAGAAAAAGGAGGAACCGAACTGAGTACCAGTATTTCTCTCTCCGCTTCCCAAACGTGGCCTCACCGTGACCAGCTGCCTCACCTTCCTGCTGCCATGACTCTCCCGCCACGGTGGACTGCATCTGTGGATGAGCTGCTCTCCCTCATTTTGTCACACAACAAGGGACGCAACTAATACACCTTGCTAGATGCCCTCTGCTGGTGACTTGCCCAGTATCCTCTGAACTCTGCCCCTGGACCTTGTGCACAGACCCCCTATAATCCTGGAGTCACTTTCACATCTGTACTGTTATACACTGTGGCCACTAAGTGTCCGAGAGGTGGCTAGTGCCGCTGAGAAATAGCAACCTCAAATTTTCTTTGTATTTGATTCACTGACACAGGGCAGGTCTGGAAAAATTAGAAAGCCAGGAGTTGGTGCAGGCTTGTGACCTCAGTGCCCCAGGAGGTTGAGGGAGAGAGATCCCAAATTTAAGGCCTGTCTGGGAGGGAGTGTGTTCAAGGCCAGTCCAGGCAACTTAGTGAGACCTTGTCTCAAAAAAAAAAAAAGAAAGAAAGAAAGAAAGAAGGCTGAGAATGTAACTCAGTGGTAGAGCCCCTGCCTAGAATCCCCCTGTGAGGGGCTGGGGGTGTGGCTCAGTGGTAGAGACCCTGCCCATAAACAATACCCACCCACCCCCACCCCACCCCACCCCCCCACCCCGCGTCCCCAATGAAGAGCAAAGGACATAGTTCCAGTATAGAGTGTTTGCCTTGAATATGTGAGGCACTGGGTTCAAACCCCAGTTTTGGGGGGGAACCTAATCGACACAACACGGGTATGTGAATTGGGTTCTCCACCTAGGAATTCAAGTATTTCCAATTGGGTGTATCACGTGAGCTGAGGTGTAAGGAGCAATAGGCTCTCAGTGGAAACAATGCCAGGCATCTCACTAAGAGCTGAGGGGAGCTGGGAGCTGGGGTTTAGGGCTGTAATTAAGCCCCAGGGAGGCTGAAGCAGGGCCAAAGCTAGCTGACTCAAGCATCAGAAGGACCTAATATCAGGCGGGAAGGGCTGGGGCAGGGAGAGAGAAGAGGCAGGGGCCAGAACACCGGAAGTTCAAGGCCAGTCTAGACTAAATAGTGAGATAGGGCATGTTGCTCAGGTGGGCCTGCAACTCTCTATTGTCACTGAAGATGGTCTTAAACTTCTTCTTTTTTTTAAAGATCTATTTTATTTATTCAGTGTGCACTGGTGTTTTGCCTGTATATACTCTATGTGAAGGAGTCAGATCCCCTGGAACTGGAGTTGCAGGCAGCTGTGAGCTGCCATGTGGTGCTGGGAATTGAACCCAGGTCCTCTGGAAGAGCAGCCAGTGCTCCTAACCGCTGAACCATCTCTCCAGCCTCGGTCTCAAACTTCTAATTCTATCTCCACCTCTCACATGCTGGGGTTCCATGCACACGCCGCCATATCAGGTGTACCCTCGACTTTCACGGGGGCACACTCCGTCAGTGCTGAGACTTTAGGGTTAGATGGGGATAGAACCTAACAATGTAGCCCTCTTATGGTTCGAATCCTGTCATTTGACGGATGGACTTACACAACACTCATTCAAGTGGTGACAGTGGCCAGGCTGCGCCTGCTCCCCATTTCCTCTCCCACCAGGTGCTCGCCTCTCCCTAGCTTGTCCCTTTTTGTAACAAGGTATTGACAACCTGAATTCCAGGCCATGTGCCAATGATCAGTAAACTAAAATAATAAATACTAGGCACGTACCGCGTGTCAGGCACTGCTCTGGATGCTAGGGTACACCCAAGAAAAGGATGGGCAAGGGCAAGAGCCGACAAACAGGAGAATGAAAGGGCGAATACATAAGTAAAGCCATTATTCTTTTCTTTTCTTTTTTTTCGGTTTTTTCAAGACAGGGTTTCTCTATTGTTTTGGTGCCTGCCCTGGATCCTGCTCTGTAGACCAGGCTGGCCTCCAACTCACAGAGATCTGCCTGCCTCTGCCTCCCGAGCGCTGGGATTAAAGGCGTGCGCCACCACTGCCCAGCCTGTAAATCCATTATTGATAGTAATGTTTACTACAAGGACCATCAAGTGGCCAGGATCAGTGTAAGCTACTTGGGGTCATCAGGAGGCTTCTGAAGGGGCCATTTCAGGGAGACCTGATGGATGAGGACACAATCTGAAAAACAGGATGGGGAGGCAGAGCATTGCACAGAAAAACAGAAAATGCCCCAGTCCTGAGGTGGGACCCAAGCATCAGAAAGACAACTCAGGCTTGCTGGAGATGGGCTGGCAATGGGGAGAGGTGGGGACCAAGGCACACAGTGACTTGCTGTGTTGATGAGCCTCTGGCCTGCATCTCTGAGTCTGGTGGTCCCATCTACCAGGTCCTCCTTTTTTGCTTTGGACACTGAACAACCTTATGGTGGCACTTCTCACCTAAACAAACCACAGCACTGTGGTTTCTGCCTCTGCCTCACTCCTGACACCTTCCCACAGCAGCGAACGCCTGCCCAGCTATCGTAGGAAACCCTGCCCACAGCAGCATCCTGTGTGAACCAGGTATCTTGGGGACATGGGAGGAGGCCATACAGAGAAGTCTAGACTGCTACAGCAGGACCCTCCTGTCTTTCCAAAAAAGCAGGACCACAACACTCCACGGCCCTAGAGTTGAAGTCGTCACGACAGAAGAAACCAGTGGTAAACTCAAGCGAACAGGAAGGAGCACGCATGCCGGAGACCCCGGTCACCCAGCACCTATAAGGTGGGGGTAGTCACACCCCTTCCCAGTAAAGCACGGAGAGGCAGTTGCCAGGACCCCAGGACATCAGGGGCTCACCGGAGGTATTTCTGAAGTGTAGGTTTCTACTCCTCCATACCCCAAAGACCCGATTCCCAGATTCTGGCCATCAGGAGACCACCATTCCCAGACCTCTTGTCCCTTCCCTTCAATTTTGTGGGACAGTGTTCTCTACAACAAAGTCTTGGAGAGCAAATGGTGGATGATCCTCCACTCTCCATGAGACCAGGGGGTCTCCAGCAAGCCCCTGATCTCCACGGATTTCCCACCAGCCAGGAATTGACAACCAGTGTCCACAGAGCCTTCTTAGGAACCAGCGTTTAAGATTCTCATTTGAAATGAAGGTCCCAAGTCCTCTTGGGTCGGTCCTGAAAACCCGTTCTTTCTGGGGCAACTTACATCTCGTTTTCCTTTGGGACTCAGCACTCCAAAGGTTCTAACTGCCTATAGCACCGTCCACAGCCATAGGTCCACCCACAGTCAGGCAGGAAGTGAGGCGTCCAGATCTAGGACCAGATGCCAGCTGGAGGCCAAGCGGCCCCCATTTCTAGGAGTCCAGCCCCCAACTCCCCTCACTACATTACTGTCTGAATGGCAAACTAATGGTGCTCAGACCCTACTCATTCAGAACCCAGGAAATCGGGTGACTGTGAAGTCGCAGATTTCAACGAGAAGTCAGTCTCCTTCAAGTCCCCGGGTTTGAGTACCACCCCTCACCCCTCAATCTCAGAAGCTGTGGGGCCAGAAACCAAGTCACCAGACACTTCAGCCCCCCCACCCCACCCCTCATTGGTTGGGCTCTGGGGGCCCCAGCACCGCCTCAGCATCAGCCAGCATCTCATCCAGGGCCTGCAGCAGTACCCCATGAGCAGCCCGGTAACCCAGCCCACCGGTCGCCGCTGCGCCACCTGCGGGCCATAGGAAGGAGAGCGCACCCAGCGCCGCGCCTCCCGCGGTGCCCTCGCCAGCCCAGGATCCCAATCTGGCCTCCACCTCAGCGCGCGTCACCGGGCCCGGGAAGCGCGTGCGCGCGGCCAGCACTCCAGGAGCAAGGCCCAGGGCACGCTCACGGCGTGCCACTGCCGCGGGTTCGAGGCCTAGCGCGCGCCGCCATTCGGCCAGTTGTCCCCGGAGGAGTGCCACATCGCAAGCCCAGCCCAATCCTGGTACTGGGGCGGCCGCCGCCGCCAGGCTGGCCAGCAGGGCTGGCCTCCACGCTCCTGCCCGCAGCGCCGCCGCCTTCCTCCGCGCTGCGCGGGGACTTGCGGGTGGCAGCGCCAGCAGCAGCGCCCCGGCCTGAGCCGCAGGCAGTGCGCGCTGAAGCCAGGTTCCCAGCCCCGGGAGACCACCGGGCCGCAGAGGGAACACGGGCGGAGGCACCTCCTCCAGTACCTCCCACGGCTCGTCCTCCGGACTCCGAGCAGCCGTGGGCCCCGAGTCCCCGGAGCCACGGTTTTCTTTTCCTTTGCTGCGGGCATCCCCTGAGCTCCCGCCGCTTGCTTTCTCGAGCTTCTCAGCCTTTTCTTCTTCCAGAGCCTCGGGTGGATCCTCGCCCTGGCCGTCCGTGCGCACGCCGACGAGTGGAGCATCTGGTGACACCAAGGAGCGGACCTGGGCCCAGGTCTCTTCGGTGGGAGCCCCAGGAGTGACGAGGATCAGGGCATCGTAGTGGGTTGGGTGAGGGGTGGTGGCAGGGGATGTGGCGGTGGGGCCCAGGGGAACGGTCCAGAGCACCACGTTGGGGCGCTCTGGAGCCGGATAAGGGGTGGGCCCAGTGGGTTCCGAAGCAGGCGCAGCACCTGGGTCGCCAGGATCCAGTCCCAATAGCATGTCTAGTACAAGGCCTACGTTGGTAGTGCCGGCCACCGCCAGGTCCAGTCGCGCGCTGCCCAGGCGCTCAAGGCCAGCGCGCACCCACGACAGCGCCGCCTCCAGGCCGCCGGTTTCGAAGGCCTCGCGCACAGCTTCCAGCTCTGCTGCGCCCAGCACCTCGAAGCCATCCTGGGCAGGTGGCAGGAACCTGCGGGTGGGGGAGGGAGAGTAGGAAAAGGTCAAAGGCAGAAGAGTTTTAAAAGCAGGAAAAGCACGGGCGGTGGTGGCGCACGCCTTTAATCCCAGCACACGGGAGGCAGAGTTAGGCGGATCTCTGTGAGTTCAAGGCCAGCCTGGTCTACAGAGTGAGATCCAGGACAGGCACCAAAACTACACAGGGAAACCCTGCTTCGAAAAACCAAAAACCTAACCAACCAACCAAACAAACAAACAAAAACAAAAAGAAAGAAAGAGAGAAAGAAAGAAAAGAAAAAAAGAAACCAGGTGGGGCGGGACCATAAAGTTAAGGGAGGGTCTTAGGACTACCCAGAGGTCTGGATACTGCAGGGCAGGTTTCCAACAGACCCTAAAATGAGGACCCTGTTAGGATTTCCCCAGATACAGCCCTCAGGACCAGGACTTTTCCAAATATGTGCTGGGCAGAAGTTTTCTAGGGGGTGGTGGCAACTGCCTTGTGGCCTATGGCACCCCCCCCCAAAGGCTTTTTTTTTTTTTTTTTTGCTAAGGGTGGATGTTAGGAAGGGCATGTGAGGGGAGAAATCTCATCTAGCACTGGCGGGGCAAGTGAGGCTAATAAATGAGAAATAGCTCTTGGAGAGGGGTGGATTTAGGAGAGAGCCAGTAAGCAGCACAGACCTGAGAGGGGGTTGGGGAATGGAAGAGTGGAGTGAGCAACAGAAACAGAGCTCCTTAAGGGTTTGGTGCTAGGGCGGGGGGCAAGGAGGGTTGTCACTTGAGAACCAAGCTGATGAGTACGGGAGTGCTGGAGAGTCTTCGGGGAAAATCATCGAGGAATCACAAGTGTCACAGAGAAATGGAGTCCGGAATTTTGTCTGGAGATAGTATTTGCGTTTGTCTGGGCCTCTTCTCAAATCTCACCAGAGAGGAGGCTTGTGATGTCGGAGAGCTTGCACGAGATAAGACCTTTGTGGCGGGCCCTCCGGTTGACCCTTCGCGGGTGCAAGCTTTAAATAACAGAAAAGGGTCAAAAAAAGCACCCATTTATGGTGGAGCCTCCCTGATCTCAAAATCTGTGCTCATGGGCGGGCGGGGATGGGGGATCTACGGTAGGGTATGGAAGAATAGACAGCCAATAAAGTCTTGTCTCCAACTGTCTAGGAACAGGGCTCGAGAACCTTAAAGAGCACGGTGGCTGAGCTGGGTCTAAGCTAAAGGCATCAGGCCACCCCACCCAGCGCATGCCTCCTCACCTCTGCAGCGCCTCCGCCTGGGTCCGCAGCACCACCCGCAGGCGCTCTAGCTCCTCGCAGCAGTCACTGCTGTTGCAGTTGGCCGGCAGCACAAAGAGAGGCGCAGCTCCTAACCCAGCACTCTTCAGCAAGGCCGCAGTCTGATCCCGGGCTTGAGCTGCATTCTGGGAGTCTCCAGGACGCAGATTCCGTACGGCCAGCAGCGGGGTCCCTCGGGCCAGGGCGGCCCGCGCTGCCTCTCCCAGAGCTGGGGTCAAGGGCTCCTCGGTCCCCTCAGGTCCTGGTAGCACCAATACCAGCAAGTTGGCCTCCGCCGCCCAGGGCCCCGGAGCTGCGGGTGGGCAGCTCAGCTCGCCCAGGAAGAGGCCTGGAGCCGCAGCTCTCAGACTGGGGACTCCAGAATCCGGCCGTCCTTCAGGAATCTCTACCATGTCTACATTCTTGTCGCATAACGCGGCGATCAGCGCGGACTTTCCCGAGCCCGGAGGCCCCAGGAATAAGGCAGTCACGTCACCCTGCGGCAGAGGCATTGCTGGAAAGCAAGATGTGGGGAAAGACATGGGTCAGGGAACACGCAAGACTTTTTGTTTGCTTCTTTTTTTAAGGCGGGGTCTCACTGTGTAGTCCTGGCTGGCCTGGAACTCAGAGAGCCTCAGCCTCCCAGAACGCTGAGATTAAAGGCATGCGCTACCACACCCGACAACACCCTTTCCTAGCTGCCCCACTGTCAATCCAGATTTCACTCCTCCAGCCTGTCCTCCACTTCCATTCTCCAGTGTCACCCTGTAGGACCCAGAAACCCAACGCCCATGACCCTATTCCCTGAAGAGCTAGGCGTCTGTCCATTCTCCACCCGAATGCATTTCTCTATTTCAAAAACTCAGAAATCTGACTGCCAATCTCTGGGAGACTCGAGGATGACCCTCCCTCTCCCGGTTCCAAATCACCAACCGAGCGAAGTGTAGACGCGCGGGGAGAGCAGCGGGAGCCCCGCCCCTTAAGACGAGCTGCTGGAGGCCAAAGGGGTTGAAGCGTCAGGATTCAGAGACATCCAGACGCCTTCGGTAGCTCTATCCTGACGTCTTTCCTTCCAAGACCGGGTGTGTCTTGGAGCGCCGCCGCGAAGACACAAAGTTCTGGCAGCACTCAACACCGGGGGCGCTCTCTCTTCCTAGCTAAGACTCTGGGCGTAGGAACAATGTAGCCCAAGCGCGTGCGCAGAAAGCTTAGTGGTGGTATTCCCACCACGACCAGCAACCAAAACGCCTGCGCAGTAATTTAGGCTTGTACGGCAAAGGGAACAAGAAGCGATGCGCCCGCGCAGAAAGCCTCGCGTTGTACGGAACGCCGTTCAACGTCATCATCGTGCAACTCGGTACAGGGAAGGACCTCTCCACCTGCTAGTCCCAGGACCTGGCTGGCGTGACTGTACTAATGCCGGACTGCAACCTTGAACCTGGCTCGGAGACACGCGTGGGGCAACAGGCCTGGAGATCACTAGAGTCTGGAGACTGGGAAGACTCTACCCTGCTCTCCTCCGGTGGCAGCGCTGTGGCGATCGACTGCCAGGCGCAGATAAGGCTTTCCTTGCTAAGAGAAGGAAAGCTAGAGGGCGTCGCGAGCTAAGGGCAGAAGGCAGTGCGTGGGAACAGCGCAATCCACATGGTTATAGGTGATACAAGAATCACAGATGACAGGGAAGGATATCTCCTGGGAAGAGGCGGGCTAAAGTGTGAGGGCCACCAATTTATCTGGACCCGCGTGAGAAACTAGGACGAGGCTGGTATGAAAGATCAAGGGTTCCACCTTTCAAGGATTTAGTTTGGTGAAGATCAGAGAGCCAGGCGGTGGTGGCGCACGCCTTTAATCCCAGCACTCGGGAGGCAGAGCCAGGCGGATCTCTGTGGGTTTGAGGCCAGCCTGGTCTACAGAGAGAGATCCACGACAGGCATTAAAACTACACAGAGAAACCCTGTCTCGGAAAAACAAAACAAACAAAAAAATCAGAGGTCACAGGGGCTTGAAGACCAAGGGGTCACAAACCCGAGGAGTCTCTCATATGAGACGGGTGAAGCTTTTCTAGTGAGAGTGTCATCAGAGTTCAATGGCTATCAAAAAAATTAACAGGCCCTCTATGGCTGGTGACACATGGGCAGCCTCACCCATTCTTTTTCCTTGACTAGTACATGGAGGGCCATCACTCTAAAGAGACCATGGAGTGGCAGGCTTCTCCCAAGGAGAGGAGTCCTGGCAGCTCAGGAGGCAATCTCTTTGAGTACTTGTTGGATAGAGGGGGTAGGTGCAGAGGTGACATTACAGGGGCCTCTATATCTCAACCCTTCCTGCTGGAAGTGCCTGCAGTGACCCTAGCTAGCTACGTGCCAGGAATGGCCTCCCTTCTTGATCAGATGTACTTTGCTCTGCGTACAGGCAGAAGCAGGATTTTATTCAGAGGGACCAGGGGCTTCCAGGTGAGGCTTGGGCTGGGGATGTGACAGTGCAACTGGGGCCTGGGAACGAGTCCACGAGATTCTTGTCCCAACTCATCCCTAGACACTCAATGTGACTGGGATTCATTTTCTCACATCAAAAGGGTGCAGCAGCCGGGCAGTGGTGGCGCACACCTTTAATCCCAGCACTCAGGAGGCAGAGGCAGGCAGATCTCTGTGAGTTCCAGGAAACCCTGTCTCGAAAAACAAAACAAAACAAAAGCCCTCTATTTTGTGGTGCTTGCAACAAATTAATTCAGGGGGCTGGAGAGACTCAGGGGTTAAGTTGCTCCTGTGGAAGACATGGGTTTGGTTCTCAGCACTTGAATAGTGGCTCACAACCATACATAACTCCAGTTCTAGGAGATCCAGTGCCTTCTTCTGCCCTCTTCAGGCACCAGGCATGCACTCGTTGCACATACATACATGTAGACAAAATAGAATAACGAATATAAAAATATGAACCTAGGGGATGGAGAAATGGCTCAGAGGTTAAGAGCACTGACTGCTCTTCCAGAGGTCCTGAGTTCAATTCCCAGCAACCACATGGTGGCTCACAACCACTTGTAATGAGATCTGGTGCCCTCTTCTGGCCTGCAGGAACATATGCAGGCAGAATACTGTATACATAATAATTAAATAAAAATCTTAAAAAAATATGAACCTAACTCAGGGGCTTGTGCATGCTATGCATGTGCTTGACCACTGAGCCACACCCAGCCCCTCACTGGGGGATTCTAGGCAGGGGCTCTACCACTGAGCCACACCCCCAGCCCCTCACTGGGGGATTCTAGACAGGGGCTCTACCACTGAGCCACACCCCAGCCCCTCACTGGGGGATTCTAGGCAGGGGCTCTACCACTGAGCCACACCCCCAGCCCCTCACTGAGGGATTCTAGGCAGGGGCTCTACCACTGAGCCACACCCCAGCCCCTCACTGGGGGATTCTAGGCAGATGCTCTACCACTGAGCCACACCCCCAGCCCCTCACTGAGGGATTCTAGGCAGGGGCTCTACCACTGAGCCACACCCCAGCCCTTCACTAGGGAATTCTAGGCAGGGGCTCTACCTCTCAGCTGTGGGAACCTGCCCCACTGGGAACTTAGGTCACCTGTGAAGAGGTGGCCTGGAACCGAGGAAAGGCAAGTGCGCCCATTTCCCAGCCTCCCTCTTACCCGGAGACAATCAGACACAGCGGGGAGTCAAGTCAAGCAAGAACTCATTTATTGATAGGCAGTAAGCCTCTTTTATACCAGAAAACCTCCAAACCCTAGGAGGGGGTGAAGGAACAAACCAATCATTTTAAAGGGCACCCTATTTACAAGTTGTTTATGTCCTGACACTATCTCTTGTTTTTTAGTATTTTATCTTAGCATAAATAACTTGAGCTAACTTCCTTCCTCACCATTTGTATCCACTCTCTGCGTAAACACCTTAAAGCTTAAGCTCTATTTATCTGAATTTCTCTCGGCACCCTCTTTGCAGCCCATGTATGCCCCACACTCAGCCACACCCCAGCCCCTCACTGGGGGATTCTAGGCAGGGGCTCTACCACTCAGCCACACCCCAGCCCCTCACTGAGGGATTCTAAGCAGGGGCTCTACCACTGAGCCACACCCCCAGTCCTCACTGGGGGATTCTAGGCAGGGGCTCTACCACTGAGCCACACCCCAGCCCCTCACTGGGGGATTCTAGGCAGGGGCTCTACCACTGAGCCACACCTTTAATTCTTACTGGGGGATTCTAGGCAGGAATCATGTTTTAAAAGGGTTTTTAGGGCTGCGCGGCAGTGGTGGCTCACACGTTTAATCCCAGCATTAGGGAGGCAGAGGCAGGCAGATCTCTGAGTTTGAGGACAGCCACAGCTACACAGAGAAACCCTGTCTCGAAAAACAAAAACAAGTGTGTGTGTGTGTGTGTGTGTGTGTGTGTGTGTGTGTGTGTGTGTGTGTAGTGTCAGGGGGAACTATAGGATTGGGCTTGTGTGTCCGGTTTTAGGAAGGACTCAAAGAGGAAGGCTATTGTTCAGGGGTGGGTGTTGCCAAAAAATAGAGGCATCCATGATTTGCCCCCCTTTTTGTTCTGTTTTTCTGAGACAAAGTCTCAGTTTGGAGCGTGCTACGGCATCTGCAATTAACTCCTGAGACACTGACAAGCAGCTCAGACATCTGGGAGTCAAATGTGTATCCCCGACTGTCCTATAGACCGGGCTGGCCTTCAACTCAGAAGTCCACCTGCCTCTGCCTCCCAAATGCTGGGACTAAAGACATGTGCCACCATGCCTGGCAATGACTGGCCCAGGAGGGAGGGAGTGGGGCTGAAGCCCAGACTGGTACAGCAGTAGTCGCTTGTGTTAACCAGTCACGCGCCTGACTTGGGCGGTATTCAGTCTTGTCTGTCTCCCACCGCAGCCTTGTCTCTAACTGACGTTCTGTGAAACTGCATCTGTTCCCCAGACGGAGGCCTGGCAGTGTCAACTCCCAGATGTCAGGGCTGCTTGTCACTGTCTCAGGAGCAGTAATGGCTGACACTGTAGCATTACAATGGTATGGAGCTGCCAAGTTCAAGACCCCAGTTTTTGGATGATGAAACTTGTCCTTGCCTAACAAATGGAGATTCACCTCAGGCAGTGTCTTAATCACCATGCTCACCACTTTGTCGGACAGGCAGACCTTCGGTTCTGATGCTGGCTGCACCTTTCATTTCTTTGTGCTTCTGCCTGCTCATCCACATACAGCAGGGATCTATATATATATACATACATACGTGTGTGTGTGCGCGCACGCGCATCTTGCTTTCTGCATAGAGTAGTCATGGGTGATTGCTGGCATGGTTCAAAGGGTTTGGAGATTCCTCCTGCCCTTCCCCCTCTCCCTTCCCCATATCCCTCAGGCCACCTAGGGGTTCCACACTGCACCCACGACCTCATCACCTTCACCAAGACAAGTTCCAGGAGCATCATCTGAAGTGAGAGCACCGGGAGACGATGGCCCCTGAGCTGCAAGGGCCTTCTTGACTCTGCTTCACCTGTGCCTGCTCCTCCTCCTCCTCCAAGGCCTTGATTGTCCACCAAGACCCAGTCCACTTCTCAGGCAGCACCACCAAGTCCGTGATGCCCACACCACCCCTGGCTCCTTTGCCTGGACTGAGTGTGGTCAGGACTTTGCCCAGAAAGCAGGGCTCCATCAGCACTACATCGGGCATGTTTAGGGGAGCCCTTGAGTAGGCATGAGCCCTCTCTGCAGTGATGGGGCCCCACAGCTGGGGGAACCACCCATGCTAGGGTCGCAGGTCTCCTGGAAGGATTTAATTACCCTACCAGGAAGGCAAAAGTCGAGGCCACATCTGCAGTTTTTCGAGAACATAGGGTCTTTCCAGAAGCAGAGACATTGGATGAATAGATGTGTTGAGAAAGCGAGAAGGCAGAATTACTCCTATCTCCTTCATTCCCAGTTAAATAGCTTCGGATTCTATAATCACCTTTAATTTTTCCCAGATGGATGCCAGGGGCTGCAGGAGGAAATTGCCCTGGCTCTGTGCCTGGGTGGGGGTGGGGGAGTGAAGGGCTGCTAGCCTGCGATGCTGAGTGAGTTCCAGGCCTGCACAGAGCCTTTGGGGATGGGGAAGTAGGAGTGAGCTGGGACCTGAGGTCCCAGGGGTGGGGGTAGGGGTT